AAACGTTCCTCATAATGAACATTTTTCCCTTGTGGAATCAGAATAAACCTCAATTCAACGTCCTGAACCAAATTTATGCTTTAGCAATACTATGAACAAAGTATCAGGGCTACTGAATAACAGAAACTGAATCAAGTGAATCCTTTATCAGGCTAGCTCTGGACTAGAAAGATTGCTTGGAGTCATGGCTTGAAACAAAAGTTTGGTCTAAAGAATCTATATTTGGTTTCTCCCTATATTCAGTGGAAAGATGTAGAGTTGCAAAAATAAAATTTGCAAATAACGAATTCATGGAAAGGTCTGACGGACATAAAATCACAGATATTATACACTGTTAGAAGCTAATCTGAAGTTGGATGGAATGGACAAAGCACCTGCAGTTCCTCAAAATTAAAATGAGCAATTGGACCATGGAAGGAATATAGAACTTTTTAGAACTAACAGAAAGATTATTAAGAACGATTTACATTGCTCTTGCTTAAGTGTGTTTCCATGTGAGTATGGTGAAATTATTATTTTCTTCACATAGCTCTACTGTAATCTAATAGTCTGCTACAGAGGAGCAAGTTTTACTTTAATACAGGATAGAAACACAAGTGTGATTTGATCTAGTTTCAGTTATTGATCTAGTTATAAAGGTAGCACTAACTTTAATTAGCTGTGCAACTTACCAATAAGAATCAATACATATTATCTTACAATTCCCTGCTGAAGTTTAAAAAGAGGGAAGTTTTAAAGTTGACATGTCAACAACCAATTATTTCAGGTAAGAAGAAAAATTCAGCCTTTTTTAATAGGTAGCTGGTCATCCAGGATCAAATCCCTCTAGAGTAGCTAGCCATATCCCTTTGGAGGATTAGAAAGCCCATTTTTGGAGTCTTCTTTAAAAGTCAGGCATACAATAACAAAGTCTCTCTGCATTTACTGAAGACTGTCTAGCTGAATGGCCTTCAGTCTCAGTTTCTGAGACAAAAAGAAACCCTAAAAGTACATCTATAAACTGTGAAGGCACCAGGCAGTGACCATATTATCCCTGAATTAATCAAGACAAATGTGAATTGGCAGGCACCCTTTTCACTTACACAGGCAAGATAATGCTGATTCCTAGGGACTAGGGACCAGCCATTATAATTCCTATTTTTAAAAAGGAAGACAGAGATGATCCAGGTAACTATAGATCTAAATGTCTATCGAGTGTTATAGCCATTTATTCTGAAAATTATCTAATTGGATGGACAAGCATTTTCTGCTGTTTATTAATAAATTATACAGGTATACTAACACCAGACTAAGAGTCAGATACAACCTGCTGGGGATGCTGATTTGGTATCTGTAGAGAGAGATGACAAGCAGGAATGCATCTTGGCATCCTTACTCTTGAAATCTACATTAACTCCCTACTCAAGATTTTAGGTGCAGTGCATTACTATCTACCAAAACTGGCAGAGCAAACCATACCAGTCCTTTTGTATGCCAGTGATGCAGTGCTTTTGTGATATACTCAAATCAGCTTTGGGAAGACTTGGGGATTCTTGTGCAACATTGCCAAGATGAGCAACTGCAAATAAATTCTAAAAAAACCCTAATATAACAGTTTTTGGCAAAAGGCCAAAGGTGTATAATTTGTTAATTGATGATTACAAGACAGAACAAGTAACATGTTTCAAATACTTTAGAGTGGTATTCCATTCTTCTGGGAGTCTGAAAGCTGAAATAGAACATGCAGTGCTAGTAGCTTAAAGTAGCTATTCTTAATTTTTTTTTTCACACACCAGGGCATGGGTTCATACCAACTGCCATTAAATTATTTCATTGACACAACTTTCATATGATGCAAAATAAGGCCCTTACCCCAAACTGTGGGTAACCTGAAGCAGTGCAAATTGTTCCTTAAAGCAATTTTATAGCTGCCCATATGCATTCCAAATGCAGCACACTGGACTTCAGAGAATGGAAGTAATAAGTTGTCTAGTAATTTCCAACTATTGGCTGAATAAAAAATTCTTCCCAGCAGGTTCGGTTACACATGTGTTCCTTGATACCTTTAAGTCTAGTTGGAAGCAGGCTAAACCTCTAAGGCTTTGCTTCCTTGTTTTTTTCTCCGGAATTTCTACTTTCTCTGGGCTATGAGTAAGCCATAGTGCCACTAAGGCAGCAAATCAGGGATAGCTTATAATAAAAACTAGGGTCACAAACAGAGGAAACTAGAGTGGTTTATATGCCTCTGAGGAGAACCTGCCAGCCATTTTTCCTCTCTCTTACCAAACACAGGAGACCATTTACACAGGTAAGATTGATGTGCTTCTATTAGCAGTACAAGTAGTCCTTGCTTAACAACTGTTTGTTTAATGATGGTTCAAAGTTACAACGGCCTTGGAAAAAGTGCTTTATGACCTGTACTTGCACTTGTGACCATCGCAAACCGTTGCACCACCCCCCATGGTCATGTGATTGCAATCTGCAATTTTTTTACGATGGTTGTTAAGCGAATCATGTGGCCATTAAGCACATTCCAGCAAATAATGTCCATTGGGGAAGCTGGATTCACTTAACAACCATGTTATTTGCTTAACGACCACAGATTCATTTAACAACCATCATAAAAATGGTCATAAAATCGGGTCCACTTGATGACTCACTTAACAACCACCCCACTTAACTACCAATTTTCTGGTTCCTATTGTGGTCATTAAGTGAGGATTACCTGTATTACACAGTAGATTTAGAAACGTTCCTCATAATGAACATTTTTCCCTTGTGGAATCAGGAATGGTAGAAAATGTTGCCCTTGTTTTATGTTACAGACTTTTTTACAGAGATTGCAGAACCAAGTATATTATACAATACTTGCTGTGTTTTCCCAGTCAGAGCAACTTTATGTTCCGTATAGCTGTCAAACAAAGTGACTCCACTTCATATAATGTAGAAAAATTCTGCATGATAAAAGGTAAGCTGGTTTCTACCTGCATGTAGAAACCAGCCTACCTTTGTGAACTAATGAATTGTCAGCTATCACAACTTAAACTTTACTGTGTCTTAGAGTTCTTTCGATTGTAAATACCTAAGTGTGTACATATGTACACAATGTACAGCTGTGCATATATATTTTCTTAAGATTTATGTGTATAGTATTTGAAATGGTGCACTTTATAACAAGTAATTCACTGTTTTTATATTATTGCATAATACTTTTAAAGAGGGAGTTTCTCAGACTCGAAGTAAAAAGTACATAGATCCAGGCAACTGTACAAAGGTATTCTGATGCCAAGAACAGAACCATGTTTATTGTCACTTATTTTTATTTATTTATTTAAACAATCTGTGTCGCTATTCATCTCACTACTACAAGTCTAGGTGGCTAACAATTAACTCAAACCAAAAAACACCAAAACAACTCAAATTAATTTTTTTAAAAAAGAAAATACAACAATCATCAATATAACATGTGCCAAAGTCCAGAAAAATCATTCCATCTTACAATCAATAATGAGCAAAAAATTGACAGTTCAATCAACAGGGCTCACCTAACATCCCAGCCCAAATGCCTGAAGGAACCAGGCCTTTAACGCCTTATGAAAGGCCAATAGGTCATCTGGATCTCTGGGGGGATGCTCTTCCACAGGGCAGGCGCCATGACAGAGAAGGCATATCTCCCAGGACCCGCAAGATGACATTGCTTAATAGAAGGAACCTGCAGCATGCCCACCCTGTCAGCTCTGGCGGGCAAACAGAAATAGTTGGAGACAAACAGTCCCTCAGAAAGCCATATAAGGCTTACTGGTTATAATTAGGACCTTGAATTGTACCCAGAAGCTCACCAAAAGCCACTGCAGTTCTCAGAGCAGTGCTGTTATATGGGCATATCATTAAATGCCCAAAACTGCCACATTCTGAACCAGTTACAACTTCCAAATGCTCTTTAAGGGTAGCCCCATGTAGAATGCATTACAGTAATCTAAATAGGTGTGTGTTATTGTGAGTAGGGCTTTCTGATCCAGAACAGGTGTCACCTGCTCCTTAAGCAAGAACTGTGAGTTCAAGAGGGCCCCAAATTGAGCAGCAACTCTCTCTGGGGGAATGAAATCCCATCCAGAGTAATTGACAAGAGAGTCTAGATATAAGAAAGCCCAGTTTAGAAATTAGTAATTATTTGGTCTAACAATTCATCAATACAGTATCAGTTGCAATTGGTAGGCACTAGGATGTAACCAACAACTAATGGAAAGTAGTAGCAGTGGGATTTGGGGATGACTTCAGAAGCACAATGGCCACCATTACCATGAAATGCCACACCTATATCACTTAAAGATGTAGGTTTCCACAAAAATGCTGACACAGAAAAAGGAAAGGCTACTTCTTCTTGGATATTAAAAGACACACACTTCTGAATTCCTTCTAACTGTAGGCCTTTAGCCACTCTTCCAAGACGGAATAGCTATAAGATACAGTTTTCAGCCTCTAGCCTGAGAAATAAGGAATACCATGATAAAGGTTTAAGAAGAACTAGAAGTATTAGTATAAGTCTACCCTGAAAATTTAAGAGACAGAAATTAACTAGATGTACAACAATGTATGTTTCAGATTCAGGTTTGGGATTGAAACTCCCTTAGTAGATGCCATGCACCAAATGGAGGATAGAAATTTTCAATATTCTTAACTTGTGAGCCACCCAGAGTCACCCTCTGGGGGAGATGGGCGGCATATAAATTTAATAAATAAACAAAACAAAACAAAAAATAAAATAAAATAAAATAAAATAAAATAAAATAAAATAAACTTCAGGTAGGCAAACTATGGCCTTTCTATCATCTCCGACTAACTGGATTTGATGGGAGCTGGAAACCGAGCAATATCTAGAGGATAATAGGTGACCCATTTATGCAATAATACGTTATATCCTTGAACTGTATTCCTGGACTGAGGGCACTGCATTATGGTTGTTTTCTT